TGTCCATGTGACCAGCAGCAGACTTCAGTGGAGCTTTAAGGTTCTGCTTCTAGAGGAAGAACTTCCTTCTTCATCAGCCTCATGTTGATGTCAAACCCTGTGGACACTGACGGCTGTGTTCCAGCAGCTTCTGATTCATTCAGAGCTGCTTTTTGATGATTCCTGGTTGAATCAGCTTTCTATATCACCAAAACTTATCATTCAAGCTACTGTATGAATATTTTTGACCAAGCAGATTTTGGCACATTTCTAGAAAACCTATAATAAATCTATAAAAGAACCAAAAGGCATGATTGTTTTTTTGGTCTGACAAAGATTCATGTGTTTCAAGGATTCAATCATAGAAAGTTTAGAGTTATAGGAGTCACTGGAAACTCAACACTGTCATAACATACACGGTCTTCACAAGTGTATGTAAACGTTTGTTCTTGTTTGAAAGTGAAACTGATCAACCTGGCATTGTATTGTTTTTCTTCCAACCATCTTCAGCTCAGTCTAAAGTAGAAACAGTCTCTTACATTGTGTCTGAGGGTTCAGGTTCATTCCTGAACTCTGGAGGATGGTCTTTGGACCAGTCACTCTTCATGGACGGACAGACGGATGCTGAAGACTTTGCTCTCTGTTGGTGCTGCTGACATCTGGAAACAAACAATGAATCATTCAAATGTATCATTGTACATTTATCCTGTTGGATGCTGAGCTCCTTTTCTTTCAGAAAGCGTCTCCAAGGTAGTATTGTTTGGTCTAGATTCACACTGTATTAATTCAACTTTATCATTGACTTTGGAAGTCTTGTTTTGTTGTACTGGGATGGATCATAAAAGAAAGACAGGAGAAAAAGATTTTGTCAAAACATTGAAAACGCATCTCAATATCATGTAAAGCAACAAATAGGACCTCAGTAATGATCACTGGTACATTACAGAGTGTGTTGATGGTCTGTTGGAGTTCACTGTGTGCTTAAAGCAATAATTAGATTTATTTTTATTTACGTAAAACTCACCTATGTTGCAATATAACAACTTTCTGATCTGTTCACACCTCCCAGCTGGTAACAGGCAAAACATATGACTTGCTAAATATTTTCTAATCGACTCTACAATTTACAGATGTTCCCTGAACGCCCCACATTGCAGGCTGCGGTAGCTGCTGTTGGTATCTGTGGTGCTCAGACAGGGTGTGCAACCAAAAATGACTTTAAAAATAATACAGAAGGGCGTTCTAATGACAGATTTGTCCAAAATGAAGTCGTGTAATTTTTTTTACAAGCGCCCTTTTCTATGAGCAGAAATAACAGCGAATGCAGGTGCACTCCATTTTTCATGATATGACCTCATTTTTAAGCATAAATACTGCAGTACACTGAAGCTATAAACGTTCTACTTTTCTCCGCTGTGGTTAACACAGCAGCTTCCTGTAACAGCAACACTAACACAGCTTCCTGATCATCCTGCACTTGTACCAATGCGACTGCTTGAAATTTTAATTTGCAGACTCACAAATATGGCCAGTCTGGAGTCCAGCAACATGTAAAGCCCGACTCTAGCAGCTAATGACTCTTGAACCACCCTTTTGTTTATCCAGTGTCTTGTATATATTTTTATCTGACTTCATCTGAACAATCTGGAAGTTAAAACGTTACGTGGTTGTCGTTATGATCAGTTTTGTCTTACAGAGGACACGAACTTTGGTTTATATTAAATGCAGTCTTTGCAGTGTTGCAATCAGAGATTTCTTGCATCTCAAATATTATCCAGGTAATCCTCAGATGTATATGTACAAATCTACAGATACACGCGGATGTAAAAGATCTTTATCACTGAGTTTTATTCTGTAGCTTTGAAGCTACAAGTTTCTCTCTTGCGAAACTAAACTGATCTAAACTGAACTTTCTCACTGAGGCTCTGCTGCAGTCAGGCAACAGTTAAGTGATCTAACAGGCGCAGCAGCATTTTTGTCTTCCTGCCAAATGCCTCTTTCAGCTCAGTTTACAGCAAAAACAGTCTCTTACTGTGTGTCCGAAGGTTCAGGTTCACTCCTGAACTCTGGAGGATAGTCTTTGGACCAATCACTCTTCATGGACAGACAGACAGATCCTGGAGACTCTGCTCTGTCCTCGTCTTCTTCCAAATCACTCATCTTCTCAAAGATAAAACGCAAACAGAACTGTGGGCACAAAACACAAGAACAATGAACAACACGTCAGTTTAACCGTCACACCCAGAGCAGGACGTCCATCCTGTGTTGAACATCAGCCAGCCCTTCACTGGTTAATAAGTACTTCACTGTCTGCTTTGGCAGTCCAAAGTCCACCCAGAGAATCTGACAATAGAAGAATATTAATGTTTAAGTGACTCACCTTTTTTTCCCTCCTATCACTCCGTGTACTGTAAACAGTTTGAACTGTTTCACTTTCAGTTTCTAGTTGAGTCCCTGTGACTCATTGCAGTCTGTGTGATACAGCTTTAAAGAGATATGAAAAAAAAAAAAGATCCATGTTGGCTTGAATGCCATAAATGTAAATACAAGTAAACTGTACTTACATAATGAATATGGATTTATTTGTAATTTAAACAGTTTAAACAGTACAGACGTATCAAAGAAACATGTGTTTTAGCTTTTGTCAAAAATGTTTTTATCTGATTTTGTCGTTTTGGTCAATAAAAAAATACAAACATCTTGGTCCGGTTTTCTTAACTGACATTTTATGCAATTTTTTGAGCCACTCTAAGTTGAACTCTTACTTACTATCACTGCATTAAAGACTTATACAACAAGACTTGTCCTGAGTCGGGCACCCTGAGCTCCTCACTATAAATTAGGGATGCACTGATCCACATTTTTTCACTTCCGACCTGATCCCGATACCTGAATTTGGATATCTGCCAAAAGTATTCCGATACCAGAGCTCTGTTTGCTTTAATATTATTATTATTATTGTTGATTTTATAGGCTGTAATAAACTGCTCTCTACAGGCAAGTATGATATGTACGAATGTATGTCCCAAAAGGCAGCTTGAGGCAACTATAAGGTCAGAAAAGCAAGTCAGAAAAACAGGAAAACAACAAACATGCAACTGTAAGGGTTTCAAACCGACTGTCAATGTTCATCAAATCCAAGACAGACACACAAACTTCTCCAACACTATCCCTCTCCAAATAAAATACAAAGGGCTGCTTCATCTGATCAGTGCAAAACATTGCACGTTGCTGTCTTGCTTTGCAGTGTTTCCAGTGCAAAATACTTCCACACAGCAGACATGTTGTGATGAAAAGTTGATTAGCCACAGGGCTGCTCAACGCTCGCCTGCTAGCTGGCTGCAGAATGTGGAACAGATATTCCTGAACAGAGGCGTGTCTCATTACTCTGGATCTCATTGGGACGCGCCTCTGTTCAGGACATCCAGCCTACATTTTGAAGCCAGCTAGCAGAGCAGCCGGCAGGGTCTCGCTTGTGGAGCCATTTTAGCAGAAAACATTAAAGCACAGATATGAACTACGATGGTATCGGAACCCGATAACGATACTGGATCGGACCAGCCCCTATCTCCACACAAACCACAACAAGAATGAAGAACACATCCGTTAAACAGTCACACCCAGAGCAGGACGTCCATCCTGTTCTCAACATCAGCCAGCACACCGATGGTCCAAAATCCAGTAACAGAATCTGACAGTAGAAGAACATTAACATTTAAGGCACTCACCTTTTTATCCTCCTACTACTCCGTGGACTGTAAAATGAAGTCTGATATCTTTCATTTCCAGTTTCTACTTGAGTCGTGCTTCATCATGTGACTTGTTACAGTAAGTGTGTGTGATACAGATTTGCTTTGAAGAGATATGAAAAATTATCTGTGTTGGCTTGAATGCGGGCTGCAAGGTGGATCGGTGGTTAGCATTGTCGCTTTGCAGCTAGGAGGTCGCCGGTTCGTGTCCTGGTGAGGACACCCGGGATCTTTCTGCATGTTCTCCCCGTGCAGCGTGGGTTCTCTCCGGGTTCTCCAGCTTCCTCCCACAGTCCAGACATGTTGAGGTTAATTGTTGATTCTAAATTGTCCGTAGGTGTGAATGTGAGTGTGCTTGGTTGTCTGTCTCTAAGTGTAGCCCTGTGATAGACTGGTTACCTGTCCAGGTGAACCTGCCTTCACCCTGAGTCAGCTGGGATAGACTCCAGCCCCCACGACCCGAGTGAGGATGAAGATGGAGAGATGATGGATGGCTTGAATGCCATAAATGTAAACACAAGTACAAGTAAATGTTACACAGAGTAAAACAACTGTTGCTGTACGTTAAAAGACTTTTTTTTTTTTTGCCCTAAGAAGCACATGTGCTCCTGAGTTACAAGTTCTGGACCACATCAAGAGCTTTGGGAGCAGAATGAAAATGTATTTTCCTTAAAGAGACACACATTAGATAGACATTACCAAGTCTTAGACATTTGAAATAAGAATAAAAAAAACACAATAGGTTCTAATTTATTCCTGCTTCAAACTGCACTTAAATAATAAATATGGATTTATTTGTACTTTAAACGTTTTAAACAGTACAGACATTATACTGGCCTCACTACAACGAGGCTTTAGCTACCTAGTGAGCTAAACAATATGAGACAGTGGCAAGGCATGGTGTGAGACAAAACTCCAGAGAAGCACGTCTTCTTTAACCATTTATTTTGCTTTTTGCCTTTGTCTAATTTTAATCTCATTCTTATTCTTCTTTATAAAACTGCAATTAAACACAAAACAGAATTTATTTTAGCATAAATGTAAATAGCATCATCGCATCAGTGGGAGATTGACTGAAACAATGCAACAGCAGGCAGACTATCCCGAGCAAAAACTAAGTAACATGACTTATAAAACACAGCAGTCAAACAGCACTTACAGGCATTGTCCTCGCTGGAATCAGGGAAATACACCTCTTTTTTTAGCAAACACGAGGCTGGGCACCACATGTAGCAGGCTACGCTGACTTTTTTCATCACAGGAACAACAAAATACGGCAGGAAGTAGAACACCTTCAGAAAACCTGAGTGTGGTAGTTCAATAAATGATCAATAGATGGCGCCAGACTACAGCAAAGAAATCACATGAACAAATACTGTTACTCTTGGTCGAGTATGACAGACATACTGAAGAAACGTGTATTAGCTTTTGTTTTCATTAGATTATTGTCGTTTTAGTCAATAAAAATACAAGCATCTTGGTCTGGTTTTCTTAACGGACACTATAGGCACATTTTTGAGCATTTTGAGGCCCTCTAAGTTACTTACTATCACTGCATTAAAGACTTATCCTACAAGACTTGTCCTGAGTCGGGCACCCTGGGCTCCTCACATTAAGTACAGATGACTAACAGCTAGACGAGTGAAGCTAACTCTGCTACTGACAATGACAACGCAAAGATGCAACAAACGAATTCCTGCTGAAGATATTTACGTTCAAAAGAACTTTCCACACGTTTACAACTGGTGTAAGCGACGCTTTTCCTTACTGGCTGATTTGAAAAGGTCTGAGTGAAAACCTGCTGTAAAAAAAAACCCCAAAAGCTTAATTTAGCAAATGCTGCTACGAAACGCTTCACAAGCAGCTGAAGTAAACACAAGAGTATAAATTATGACAGGATTATTTTATCGACAGTCGTCCTCAGATGTTTTCATCCCCTTCCATTAAAGAACAGGCAAAATCCACAATCTTCACTCAAATAACTAGAAATTGAAAAAAGTTTGCTAAATTTGCTAAATTATAATTTTGTGAAACAAGACGTTGCTTTTAAATTGTGGTTGAAAAGAATAATTAAAAAAACAAAACAAAACTGTCCCGGACAAATGAGAGCACTTTGCTGATGAGCAGTGGGCCAGAATACCTGTGAACAGGTGCAGAAGTCTGACTGAGAGCTACAGAAACACCTGATGGCAGTGATTGGCTCAAAGGGTTGTTCAGCTACATACTAGTTTACGGGTCCATTCATGCTTGTTTGCTTTGTTTTTTAAAATATTTCTGTTGAACCACAATTCAAAAGCAACGTCATGATGTTCATTAAATTTTTTATTTATTATTACTTTTTCTCAATTTCAGCTTATTCCAGTGACAGCTGTGTTTTCCCTTTTGTGATGGGAGGGTATGAATACATGTGAGGACGACTGTAGCTCCGTGTCTCTGCTGCTAACGTTTATGAGCAGAGATTTACCCACTCTGCTGTGAAGAATGCAGGAGGACAATGTGGTGACACTATATGAACGTGGCTCGCATCAATAATATAATAATTACGCAACAAATTTTAAATTCTTAAAGTCTGTTGGTTTTTAATATTTGTGTCGTTGGCTACTGGAGTGAGCTTTTCCATCTTTTCAGTCAGCTGCGAGCAGGTAAAACTCCAGCTGTTGATCGAACTGTGAATGTCGTCAGAGGCTGTAACACCATGAAAAGATTAAGTTGGAAATCCAAAGTCAAGAACTATTTAAAAAAATAATACAGATCATAATACAAAGATAACACAGGAACAGGTCTGCTCAGCTGATCTCTGTGCAGCAGTAAACTGATCTGATGAATCCGAGAACTGACGTCAGACGGAGGCTGAACCCTGAAAACACATCACGGATGCTCTGTTCACTATTTTAGTCTGCTGCCTGTCACCGTTCAGACTGCCACAGACTGAGCATAACGGCCTGGCTGATGGAAACCCCTCCAACAGCGCCCCCTGCTGCTGCCCTCTGCTCACATTCAGCAGCTCCTGCAGCTTTAACAACCACTTCGCTGTCAAACCAACATGACTGGACTCGAGCGGTTTCCTCTGTGACCTTTGGATGTTGGTGAAAATCCAGAAATCCTTCATCTACTGTCACTTCTTGAAGTTTGTTTTTTAATCCTCTCAAGTCTGTCAGGTGCACGTTATGCAGAATGTGTGATTCAGGAAGTGGAGGGTGAAGCAGAGTGAGAAGCCCCCCACCATCAGTCCTCAACACCACACAGTCAGGTTTCATTTCTGCTCTTTTCTTGGTTCATAGTGACTTTTTCTAATATATAAAACAGCATTGAAACAATTTCACAATAAGCTCCATTTAAAAAAAGAAAACAGGCCTTTCCATATATAAACTGTTTTTACTGTTACTATGAGAGTCATACGGAGGGTTAGCGATGAAGTCAAACAAAAAATAGACTTTCTCTGTAATATGTGAAAGTATCAGAGCAGGACTTCCCTCATGGACATCAATGATCTCCAAAGCTCTAGATTTCTGATCAATTATATAAACTATCATCTAGATCAATAACAGAACAACTGATTAACAGTAAAAGTGGACTCATTTTTGTCTAAAAGCCCAACTACTTTGACTTTGTGTTAAAATAATAGCATTTATTATGTCAGGAATGTAAATATCAATCATAATAAAGCCAATTTATAACTAATCCGAATTAATTTGCAAAAAATATGAAAAAATATAAAAGACTCTGTCTGTAACTTAATGTTTATGTTGCAGTTGAAGTTGGAGCAACATATAGATAATAATAAGTCTGTATTGAAGAAAATGACTCGTGAGAAAAGACTCGACTGCAGGACCTGGAGAAGATGCTGCTTTTCAAGATTTTACATTTAGTTTGATAATAACTAAAGTGTTTTTTTTCTTGTAATTTAACATTTAATTACCCTCCAACCATGCTATGTATATCCAAATATTAAGTACATTTTAATAGTAAATAGACTTCGTTCTTCAGGGGGGCTCCAGTTTAGCCGACTATGTTAATATATTAAAATTATTAATGCAAGAATGTGTTACGTCTCTTTAACGTCGCTGAGAAGCAACTTTTACCTTCTTCACAGACTGTTGGAAAGTCTGACACACAGAAGCTGGGCGGCCCACAAAACGTCAGAAGTAATGTCACCTGGTAGAGTGATTCTAAAAATACCAACTCAAGAGCTGATCTTCATCTCAGTTTATCTGTTAACAAAAATTCCCAAAGCTGCCTTTCCAGATGACAACAGAGATATGACAGATATGTAAACAAAGATAGACGCCTCCTCCTCGTCCATCAGCAGACTCCAGCTGCTTATTTAGCATGTCACATTGGAATACCGCGCGGTAAGACGACAGGTCAGGATTCAGAAGTCCCGTCTTTACCGTCCAGATCTGCTCTGCGACGTGATATGAAGCAGGAATTATGAGCGGGATGAATTTTTCGGTGCTTCTGGTGACATTTCTGTGGAAGCTGACTGTTTCCAGAGGAGGTGAGTGAACGCTGCCAAAAACTGTGCTCAGTTTAAACTTTCCCTTCGGAGCGTTTGGCCCGATTTCTGATACAGCAACTTAATCTCTTTTTAAAATAAATGTCTTTTATGTCCGGCACATCTGGATCAAACTGCTGTCATTATTACACAAGTGTAAATGTCAAAACAAGAAACTATAATGCAGTGTTAAAAAGAGAACATGTAGCTCGCCTAGTTGAGCGGGCGACCCATGAACGGGGCTATGGTTCCCCGACGCAGCGGTCGTGGGTTCGACTCCTGCTCACGACCCTTTGCTGCAGGTCTGCCATTCTCCTCCCCCTTTCCTGTCTGTCTCTACTGCTCTGAATAAAGGCAAAAAATGTATTTAAAAAAAGAAAAAATGGCCCAGAGATTTAAAAAGCTGCTCGAAGACTGAGACACTGCTTGATGACTTTTTCCTCATTTTCTCCTGTTTTTCTAAAGAGTCATCCTCTTCCTAATGTCTTGTTGTTATTGTGCAGCCTTGAGAATGGCCACTTTGCATTTCACTGCACATAATGCATGAGCATGTGGCACATAACAGCTC